TGAAATATATGTGTATATGGATTATCCCTGCCTGATATTAGAACACTGTATACCTGATGCAAGATTTAAAAAAAGCTGTAAGTCACACATATAGATATATCATATACATACTTGTCTTCAAACAATTAAATATTTCACTTGGTACATTTACAAGAAGCTAAAGACATTTCAAAAGATTCTCTATGAGAAAAACTAGGGGAAAATAACCACATGAATTGCAAAACAGTGTATCTAGCCTCAAATATGCTAATGCAGGTCCAGGGGAAACTAGTCAACCTCTTTGCTGAAGTAAAGATAAAACTTTTTGACAGAAAGTGCTATTCTGATAAAATGAAATTTTCTATTATTCTATGAACATCTGGTACATGCTACCATTTCTGGAACCCTGCAGCACACTACTTTGCAATGTCACAAAATCTTGTCCATTGAGAACTCCCTATTTTGCCAAGAAACTAGCTGAAATTAGTATCTGGAAATTTACTAAGGTGAGAGGTGAGTCAGGGTAATAGACAAAAGGATAAGAAAGGGATGTTCAGTCACTGAATTATACTTTCATTAAAAGACTAAAGGAAATGAAATTACACATTGTTGGTACAGTGTTGAAAGTATAAATATCTTAATATACCTATGGTTGAAAATAGAATATGCATAGTATGCAGCCTACAAAACATTTCCTTGGCTAATTTGTAACAGCAGTTGCATTAGACACAGATTGAGTTCTTCAAATCCATGTTTTACACAACAAACATGTTAAATGATATTCAGGTGGTGAAACTAGCAAATAAACAAGTTAGTAAAATGCAGAAGAACCTACACTTTGCAAAATACAGCAATCATTATATTGCATTTGGGTGCATTTGGATGTGAACAGCAGATAAATGTTATTGCAAATTTCTGTATGTTGCTCTCATTTGGTATCAATTAGCATGGGAGGGAAACCAATTCAGTATTTTAATGAACTCCAAATTATGTGCATATTATCACAAGTAGAGCCATCTTTTCAGCTAATGGATTTATTATCAATAATTCAAATCATAATGTAAGAGAGATTAAGTGTGATTTGAAACAAATTAATTGGGTTTGGTACTAGTATATATAGTTCTAGGACATGATCTTCATAAAACTAAGTTTCATATCAGGACAATATATTTAAGTAAGCATAACAGTAATATGCATCATCACAAAGGGTCATGCAAAGAAACAAGGAGGAGACAGAAGCCTACTAACCCCAGGACTACACAACCCAGAAATTACCCTGATAGGAAGAGATTCAAGCCCAGTGATACTCCCAATTGTGCAACAAACCCATGAGCCTCTGGCATCTCTGACCACCCTACTTATCAGTTACTGTTCTTAGAGATTGCAGAAATCACATGAGATGAAATTCTTGTTCATGCCAGGTGATAATTTTACCAAAGAACTTGAATTCATGAAAAGAAAGCATTGGTTAAAATATTTGAATGTGACGCCCAAGCAGCATAAAATCACATCAGAAAACAAACCAAGTGGTAAAATCTGCTGAGTGACAACATTTACGTGTTCTCCCAGCACTCTGAGAGCTACAGAGTGATAGCATTCCAAAAAAGTGTCATATGCCAGTAGAAATTATAAGATAAAGAATTTTTCATCACCTTCTTTTCTGGGAACAAGAACTATGGTACTGGGGACAAGCTGAGACATATTAAATCAAAGGCACTTCAGGTGGCAAATAATTTTATAATTCAGTCACCTGGCAACTGGGAAATTCAGCTCAACCAGTACATCAACCCACTGACCTGGTTTTAGGCATGTAGAGAATAACACAAGGATTAATAATAATCCAAAAAGCATAGATCCCTCTCATTCCCTCTTATCTCTACCCTGTCCAGCTCAGGGATGTGTTTGGTGGAAGCAATCAAAACAATCCAAAGACAAGTTAAACCTCTAACTTTGAGTACAAAAGCCTTCCAGACATTCTCCTTTCTGTGTTGTATATATTGATTGTGGGTTCCCATCCCTAGAAATGTGTTCTCAGGGAAGAGTTGCTGAAAATGAAGGGATTTAAGTATTTACTCTAAGAGTCACAAAGCATCCTTGACATTCACACCGAGCATTCTTCTGCTATAGTTGTAAGAACAAAGCCATCCCCCCAAAAAAGCTTTTGGCAGTGAAAAGAAGCATGAAATAGGTGTCTTAGAAAGCAAAAACAGATATAGTTTATAACTTTTCTTCAACCACTAACAACACAATATTATCTCATTGAACAACCTGTTCCCACTCTAGCTGCATAAAATTATCTGTTTTTCAAAAATTATAAGGTTTGCCATCAATCATGTGTCTACAAATGTGCAAAGAAATATGCTGTATTAATATCCAAATTAGAAACATCACAGAGAAATCCCAAACAAAGGTGTAAGGTACACTCTATTGGGTATATTTGACCCAACTTTGAAATGCTTCTGACAGAAACAGAAGAAATATTATCAAGATCAGTTACTCTAACAAGGTTATTATAACTTTTGCTCTTCTCCAGAGTCATCCACTAAAACCTCAAGAACAGTTAAGCTCTGAAACCCTCAGGATTTTAGAGCAATTGGGTTTGAGATGCCAATCAAGTATCAATGAGCCAAAGAGTCCTGGAACTACCTTGTTTCCCCTTTAGGAATCTTTGAGACTTTCAGTGATGGTCCGAGTCCAGAGAGGATTCCATTTTTTTTCCTCCTTAACTTTCTAAATTGGTTGGCCTCAATAACAATGATACACCATACTGCCCTGGATTGAATCTAACTAAAACTATTCTAGATTGAATGATTTACAACATCAGGCATGCATGGTAAATTAACTCAGTGCTTGCCTTTTACCACGGTGCCTTAGGATAAAAGGAAAAACATTTATTATGTGAATCCAAGTTTGAGATAGTAAAATGCTATAAAATGTCAATTGTTGAAATTGTTGCTATTGTTTGAGATAACAATAATCAACCCTAGCGCACTGGTGACACAGTCTGGGTAGCTAGCCTAGATATAACAATTATCATTATGGAAAGCTCAGAAGTACTCAGATATTATAAGAGCCTGAGATATAAACAAGACATGAATTCTTTTGTACCTGAACTTTAATGATTCAACCAAATTAAAAAGAACAAACCGAGGTCTTGGTTCAAGATTTAACTACTGCTAGACAAATGGAAACAATGAAGACACACACATGAAAATATAATATTAAGAAACAAAATGTGAAAATGTTGCTAAAATGGAACAAAAATTATGTATATAATCATCTTCTATATAATCTACATTTTTTATGTAGAATAATCTTGAGATAATGTTCCCCATTTGCTTAGAATACTCTCATTATTATATAATCTAATATATGTATACATTATTATATATCCAATTTATAAGGAACACACCCTTAGAAGAAAACTAGCTGTAGTCAACTGATATTTTTTTCCTAGAGAAATGTGACAAAAATGAAAACATGTTCTAGGTAAGCATAACTGAGAATTAATTATGAATATTTCCTTTCCTAAAGTCATTTAATATTAGAGAGCATCTAAATAAAACCCTTTCTGATATAAATGAAATAGCTTTTCTTTAAGACACAAGATTAGTAAATGATACATATCAGTCTGTGTCCTGTGACACATTGCTAATTTGCTGATAACGTTTCTTTTTCAATTGTGCAAATGTTTATTTTTTTAGCTTTAGTAAGATTTCCCAGAAAGTATATTATTTCTGAGGATGTCACTATCATTAATTAGGGAAGGCAGCAGTGCACAATCAGTAGTGACCTCTCTATATTATAGACCTTGACACTTGGATCTTCTGGGGAGGAATGGATTAGAAAATTTAATAGAATACACAGTGAATAATTTTTTCTATGGAAAACATTTTGTTTTGTGGATCATGCAATTTTTTTCCTTTGGATTCATTTGCAAGACCAAAACAAAAGCATTTAATGATGTTTACAGTGAAATGAAACAGCTGAAGACCAGCACATAATCACCATATTTTGTTTTCTCATCTTTAAGTCTTTTAGCAGTGGGGCTTCCAGCTGAGCTTGCGTCTGAGATGTAGCCAAGCATCTGAAGCTTCACTGAGCCTAAGCACCAAGCTGAATTCATAGTTCTTAACTGAAAAAGACAGGCTGTTCACCTACCATGTTTGCATCAGTAAAATATTGAAAATGACATTTATGCCCAAGTCCATACAAACATTCTGCCATAGCTGAACACTGCTAATATTTTTGTACCTTAATTTATGCCTAACACAGTTTTAAATAGCTCTTCTTGCTAAAGCACGTGTGGCTGAGGTCACAAAAATAGACTCTACTTCATACATGAGTATGCTACCTGACATTTACTTTGAAGTACATGCGTTTTGAAGTGTTTTCAATATTCACCAAATGTCAAACTGAGTCAGCAATATTTTCTTACCCTGGAATTTCCTATGAGCAATGGCATAGATTTTTGTGGTAACCAAAGAGATCTTGCAAAGTAATTCCATAAACATAATAGAATACCTGGTACTTCCCCTCCTTAGCAAAGAATATGCAATCTGTGATTAGAGAACAGAGTCTCTCTCTGGATAAAGTTAACCAGCCTGATATGGAAATAACATACACTCCTTTGGTCTCATTAGTGCTGTGTTCTATGCAACTTGAGTGTTCAATTTCATTCATATACTAAAGCAAAAAGGGACACTTGTTCCTGGTAAGAAGGCATCTGATCATTTCCCATGTGCTCAGTATAGTTATTAATTGTAGAGAAATTGTATTTAGAGAGAGTCAGCCTTTAAATGCCTGAATATTATACAATCCCAGGAAATCCAACCAGGGAGGGGAGAGATGGCTCTGGAAATATATCAGGACATCTCCAAACACCGTAGAGACTGCTGAAGGCCATGAACACAGTATGCACCTTGACAATACTCTCAGTATAGTAAAGTAGTACAGTGTACATACAAACATTCTGATTTTTTAGCATCTGTGGATGCAACTTACATCCAAACAGCCCTTACCATGGTCAGGCATCTGAGATCCCATGGAGGTCACAGCAGTATTCAGTACATCATTCACAGCAGTATCACAATACAGGCTTCGCTGAACATCATGCTCACTGTCAGTCTGGTCACTCTCTTCATGTCCACTATCCTTCAGGCTGTTGCCCTCTAAGTCCTTGAAGGTGGAGCTGCTGGATTAAAGAAAGAATGACAATTTACCACTGTGATAGACATTATTTTAAAAATCTTTCAGAGCCAAGATGATGTCAGTTCTGTGGTGAGGACAATGGTGACTGGATTGCTCAATAGGATAGAAGGAAGAGAAATTTCTGGTTAAAGATAATGGAACTTAACATTGGAAGGAGGTTCCCACTCTTGGATGCTGATGCCACTAATACTTTCATTCACTTATCTTCAGTGCATTACTATAAGCAAGTCAGAGGAAGCTGCAAATCTGGGGGGGGGGGGGAAACCACCTGCAAAGAATATAATCATTTCAGAAAGTTTTCTTTCTCTTATTATATAATCAAAGTAAAATAATAATAGTTAATGTTTACTGAGGAATTACCATGCATAAGACAGTATTGTAAGTATTTGACATGAATTAACTTTTTAAATCATGACACCTCTATAAGAGAAAAGCATATTAATAGATATGTAAGAGAAAATATGTTAATAGATATTCCCATTTACAGATGAAAAAATAAAGGCACAACGGAAGTTAAATAACTTGTGCAAAGTCACATAGCCTATAAAAATGTAGATCTACAATGAAACCCAAGCAGTTTAGCTCCAGAACCTGGGTCCTTAACTGCCATGTATACTGCCTTTCCAAAGATGTCTACTAATCAACTGTAAAAATGAAAGTAGCAGTAATTGAGGTAATTCAATTAAAACAGAAAGGTTTATCAGGATCAGGGAATTCATGACAGTTTTAAATGAGAAATAAAGAAGGGTAGATTCAAAGAACAAGAAAAAGGGGAGAGGCAGGAGCTGAGACGAGGAAAACCATGGTGTGTGGAAGGTAAGACAACAGGGTGGGTGAACCAGAAAGTGGGCTCCAACAAAACTTTGGGTGTTAGGCTGAGAACATGGAAACGTTCAGTTCAAAAGCTTATGGATATATTTTTCTTGCACTTGTTCAATCAACCTACCACACAATTCACCAAGCATACTACCTACAAAGTTCACACAATTTCTCATGAACTAGACAATAATACATAAGGTATATTCATAGAGGCCCCACATGCTATTTCTAGTGCTTTGTATGTTCTGACAGAATCTGCAGCTGTGCTGCACCAGGGGCCATAAATTATACATCTAAAACACCTAGTGAATGGTAAAGCCATTCCCTAGTCAGTGAGGAAACAGCAAAGGCACACTCAAGAAAATGTGTTGTTGTCTCAACAGAGGAAGATGGCATGCTTGTGAATTACGACAAGTCCCAACAGACCTATTGTACCTCTGAAAAGGAAGCCCTGTGGAGATGACACTGCAAACTTGCTTGATATGGTCAACCTTGAACATCCATAAGCCTGGCTCTCTGAAGCTTTGATAAAAACATTCAGTACATATGATGAAGAGCTATGCCATGGGTACATCGTCATTTTCCACACTTGGTCTAAAGGAATCAGAAGATTTTAGCATATGAACAACCTAGATGTAAAATGCTTGCTGCCCTGAATATGAAAGAGAAAAAATCAAAAGGGAAGTAACTGGAAAACCATAATTATAAGAAAAATAAAGAGCAAGAGAGAGGGAAGCATTGAACTGTTTGCTAATTATTGTCAGAAAGGATAACTGATCATCAACTGTATTAAAATTAAAGTCATTCAATAGGACAGCTCATTCAGCTCCTCCAAATTATGTCATGCAGCGACTCAGCCCTGTGGACACAACAGAATGTAGATTTACTCAAAAATCATTCTATAACTCTTTTATGGTCAAGAAGACTAATTGGAAACACATGATTTAAAGTTGGCCACCATTTCTATCTTTATGGCACAGATTTTGGGGCCTCCTATAAATACTAATTCAACAGATGGAACAGATTCAAAGTTTGTTGTTTTAGGGGGGGAAATGGTCCTGCCCACATGCAATTCCACATATTAAAAGAAAGGAAATCACCTGTTTGGATACTATTATAAGCGTCTACATTTTTATAGCAAATATTAATTTTTCTATATGTTTTGATGATATCGGAAGCATGTGAAACTTCTTTAATCCAAGGCCACAAAATTGCTACTTTAAGTCAGATATTTCAACCCAGAATTCACTGCATTTCTGCAGTTACCAAAACTTGCTTAAGATACATGTGTTTTTTTTAAAAAAAGATACATGCTAGTGAAAGATATAGTCTGAGGGCAATTAACCATCCTTTAGAGCAAAATTTCTCAATCTTGGCACTGTTGAAATTTTATACTGCCTAATTCTTTGTTGTGGAGGGCTGCTCTATGCATTGTAGGATGTTTAGCAGCATCACTGGCTTCTACCTACTAAATACCAGTAGTGGCCCTCCCAGAAGCTACAACCAAAACTGTCTCCAGATAGTGTCAAATGATACCCCAAGTTGAGAACAACTGCTCTAGGTTCCTTAAACTCTGTTTCTGGCACATGTTAGATTTTTTATACTGTAGTGAAAAGAACACTGAACTTGGAGTCATTAGAACTAATGTTAATCCGTAGTCTACAATTTCATCAATGGAGCACTGGGCCAGATATCTAATGTCTTTGAGCCTTGATTTCCTTGTCTGTAAAATGCATTTGCTAAAAACTCATACATGAGACCATTGTGATGACTCAATGAAGTACTGTTCATGAAGTACCAGGTATACATAAATGGTCAATACATGATTATTTTTTTATATAATCATTAGTCCATATGGCAATGTTTTTTTTAGTTATAATTAAATATTATATCCATAGCCATTTTATAGGATTGATGTAGAAAATGTGAGTTTAAAGAATGCTTCTACATCTTTCATAAACTATAGTCAGACTTTGTCCACTATGTTCACTTTCCCTAAAATCCAGGAATAGAAAAAAAATTATCCTGTCAAATGTATATTCTTACTTTATTAAAAAATGAGACTATATGCCGTGGTACATTTACCATTTTGTCTTGCCTTTCCAAGAGCTGCAAGGTAAATAGAGTGTTTAATTGCAGTGAGATGGATGCCAGGGATGTAGCTTCTCCTAATTGGTTTTGGATCTGCCTTTTAAAATTTGATTGTTTTATTTTATATGCATCTGAATATTATAAACCATTTCAGGGCTTTTTACTTTTAGGTAGAAAGGACAGAAATAATAAAATAGTGAAGGATTGACTACTAGGAATTAAGGTGCTGGTAGTGTAAGCATGAAAAGTTATGTATTTTCAAAAGAAAAAGGAAAAGAGTAGATACATCTCCCCCAAACCGTGGAATACTTAACTCTTTTAAAGATCAGTTTGCCCATCTCACAAACTAAGTATCACTTACTCTGATACTGTAAGGACATTTAGTGGCTTAATGAATGAATTTGTGTAAGGCGGTTTCAGACCCAGTGAGCAAGATGCTACATATTTTAAAACAGCCTGGTAAATGGATACTCACCCAAAACAACAATTTATGCCAGGCATTTTAAAATGCTGATTGCACTTGCTTTATTACCTATGTACCTCTTGGGAGACAACTTGTAAACCAACTTTTGTGGGACAATAAATTAGGGATATCTGTTTGTAATGGTATTGGAAATGCAAATGTTTCTATTATTGCCCTGGTAGTCAACAGAAGAACAGATTTGTTTAAAAACACCTACAACAAGACTCTACATATAATAGTTACTCAGAAAATGTTTGGTGAATAAACATTATTCAAATCCTGACTTCCATTTTCCTTTTAAGATATTAAAAATATTTCCAAAAGACAGAATAATCTGAAGGGAAACAGGTCATATCTTCCTAATAGGCGACACCAGATACCCAGGGAATGGAATCTGAGAGTAAAAAATTAGAAGGGAATGAACATTAAAAAGAGTACTGTAACTATATTTAAGAACTATTGGGAAGATCCCAAAGTGGTTCCTGGACCACCTGTATCACAATAAATTTTGGAAATCTGAAAATTGGAGATCCTCGGGATTGAACTAGGTACACTGCATTTAACAAGCCTCCTAAGTGATTCTAATGCACATTAAAAGTCAGAAATTTCTGGCTTGAAGGAAAGTTTATTACTAGTTTGCAATGAAAAAAAAAAGCTGAGGTTTTCTTCAACTTATTTCATCCATTCATTCAATAAATGTGTATCAGCACGTTTTATAGACAAGCCACCATACTAGATGCTGAAAATCCTATGACAATTTATGTGGAAAATGAAAGCACTATGCATGGTTTAGGCGCCAATGCTCATTTTCCTTTACACACTGCTTCAGTACCTTGTTCATTTTCTGTGTTACTTTCTTTGAGCTACAGCCTCATGCCCTGCTTGATATTGCTTTAAAAGCACTGCAAGCATAAATATCAGACAGGAGCACAAAAGCCAGTCATGAAGAAAGAGTGGTACAGCAAGGGCAAAGTAATACTGTTGGCTTTCCTTGTTCTGATAGCAAGGAAATAAACATAGCAAGAAGGGAGTCCATCCAAAAAAAAATTCCAAATTGTCTTGTGTTGTTAACCTGGGACTCCAATATATGCCTTGGGTACACCTGCAGTTTGCAGGTAACGTTCTGGAAGAAAATACAGAAATATAACACTAAATTCCTCGCTGCATAGCATTATGGGGAATGTGCTATATTTCTTCCTTTTCCCTTTCCCATCCACTCTTATCAACCTTGATTTGTGCTAGGAGCACTCCTTGCCCTCTAGCTTTCTATTGGTTTACCTGAGATATATGTGAGAGAGAAAAAGAAAAGTCTATGTAAGTAATCTGATTAAGACAGTTAACAAGAAGGGGCCAAGAAGAATTCTTGGATGAGTAGAAAGTGACTAAAGGAAGAGAGAATGGATAGGAAGGGAAGTTCTCTAAGTTGCCTGAAATTGGATTGGCATTCAAAGAAACAGAGACTAAATTGTAAAATTAAAACTGATGTCAGCCGGGACCAGTTTGGCTCAGTGAATAGACTGAAAGGTCCCAGGTTCGATTCCGGTCAAGGGCATATACCTTGGTTGCAGGTACATCCCCAGTGGAGGGTGTGCAAGAGGCAGCTGGTTGATGTTTCTCTCTCATCGACGTTTCTAATTCTCTGTCCCTCTCAATTCCTCTCTGTGTAAAATCAATAAAATATGTTTAAAAAAAAAACTGATGTCAAATTCACAATTTCCTGGCCATGAGTTTTTTCCAGGCATTATCCTCAATAAACTACAGATGACAAAACCTCTTTCAAACATCACAGTGAGCTATTTGAACATGGTTTACAGGGTTTTATTACCTGGTATTAGACACCACTCTCTTTTGACATTTCCACACATTTTACATTTAAAATGGTTAGTCTTCAGAAAACCATAGCACACAAGATTTCTGTATCTTTTGCAGGTATTGTGCTTTGTCTAAATCCAATTGATCCCATAAATTACAAGGCCTTTGTGGTTTCCAAAGCCCTCAAGATTCCAGAAACAGAACTTGGCAAAAATGCATGTGTCCCTGAGCTTTCAGATGTTTCCTCTTAATCAATGTTGTCCCTAGTTAAAAACAAAAAACAAAACTATATTTGATTGAAGATAACATCAGGAGACTTTTCTACTGATAGCCCATTAAGTCCAGGTTGTGCCTTTTGTGGATATGTGTGCGTAAACAAAAACATATAAAGCCTTGGTCAGTGTGTGGTTCAGTTGATTGGAGGGACAACACCAAAGGTGGCAAGACTGATCACCAGTCTGGGTAGCTTCAGGAGGCAACTAATCCATGTTTCTTTCTTCTCTCTCTCTAAAAATCAATTTAAAATATAGTAATTAATTAAAATCAGAGGTCTCTAGTGAGTCCCAAAGTTACTATGGAAATACATTGAACTAAAACAATGTTTAAATGTAAGTTTTCATCTTATCAATCTGCCTTGTATGTGTATTGGATATCCAGGGCTAACCTAAGATGGTGAGGATCCCCAGGAATCTTAGTCATCTGCCATGCTATGAAGAGCAGGCTCATGCTCAGTTGAACCTGGTTTAGAATTCCCAGGTGCCCAGAGTTAGCCCAAGGAACCTATGAAGATATGGCAAGTCCCTGTTTTTAACACAAGTTTTGTTTTTTTAAGGACCTTTGCTTTGCATCCTCATAACTATTTTGTAACTACCAAATTGTACTTCTCAGTCCCTTCACCTTTTTCACCCTGTCCCAACTGGAAATATTGGGAGAAGTGCTTTGTAAAGTAGATGAATGTCTAACTCCTCTGCTGTATATCTGAAGCTAATACAAAATAATATTGAATGTAGGATTGTAATTTAAAATAAACTTTAATTAAAATAAATAGATGAAATCCAGGGTGGGGAAAATGAGCTTTGAAATAATAGCTGTGAAGTAGAAAACAAAGCAGATTTCTGCTGCAAAATAACTCTAATCAGTGCACAAAAGAGGGTATTTTTCCTCTAAAACAAATCAGTGAGATAATTTTTAATCCCTCATGTTTTGTTTTTTTATTCTGTGGGCCAATAATGAACTCCTCAAACCCCCTTTTTTAAACAAAGTCCAAGCTATGCTATGAGAGTAATCCCGGGATATTAATTTTCAGATATTTAATGATTATCACTTAAGGTTACAGGTGATTGCAAACCAATATAGATAAACCTAGCATATTTTCAGGGTTTACTGCAACATTTTGAAATAAAATAGATATGAATTAAAATTGCTTGTACAATAAGCTAGTCTATTCTGAAATCCCTACTCCTATAGTGATGTACCTGGTGTTAGACACCACTCTCATTCATGAGTTTAGAGACAGCAAAATAATAGAATTTTCATGTGTGGAATCTAATGAACAAAATAAACTGATGAACAAAATAGATACAGAGAAATAGAAGCATGAAACAGACTGTCAAACCTCAGAGGTAAGTGGGGAGAGAGTGGAAAGTGGGAAGTGATCAACCAAAGAACCTGTATGCATATATGCATAACCCATGGGCACAGACAATAGGTGGTAGAGGCCTAGGGTAAGGGGCACAGGTGAATTAGATGGGGTTAATGGGGAGCGAGGGGGACATATGTAATACTTTTTAAATTAATAATAGAATTTTCAAGTTTTCTCTATTGCAGCTCTTAACATTCCTTGCTTGTGCCTCTATTTAATTTCTAATATTTTAATAAACACATTTAGAGTTCAATTTTAGCTACAAAATTCAAGAGGATATCTGCATTGTCTGTACTAGTTTTTCTTGTTTTGCTTTGTTTGATATTATAGAATATTTGGAAAATTTTATAAATTTCAAAATTTAAATTTTATAAAAATTTTAAAATTGTTAATATGGTAAAATATTCTACAATTTGATATCATTATATAATATAATGCCAACTATTTTTCAATTTCAATTTGTTTTTATGCATAGATTTAGATGTGAGGAAATATGATAAAATTCTAAAAGTTATTATTTTGAGATAGTAGAATTATCAGTGATTTTATTTAGCTTTTTATGCTTTTCTGAATTTTCCAAATATTCTACAATAAGCAAATATATATTCATTTTATTTTTAACTTATTTTTTTAAGTTTTTTATTTTTTTATTTTTTTATTTAGAGAGAGAGAGGAAGGGAGGAGATATTGGGGAAAACATCTATGTGAGAGCAAAACATTGGTCAGCTACCTCCTGCACGCCCTCTGCTGGGGATAAATCCAGCCACCGAGGCATGTGCCCTGACCAGGACTTAACCTTTCCTTGCACAAGAATGCCCAACCAACTGAGCCACACAGTCAAGGGCTAGATGTTCATTTTAAAATCTGAAAAGGGCATCCTTAAAACAATTAACCTGTTTTGCTTTTTATATTACATCAAGTTTAGTTGTAAAAATAAACAAGCAAACCAACATACCTTTTGATTAAATGGGCTCGGCTGTTCACATAGTTGGAGTCAAAAGAATAGTTTTCAGTCTGCAATGGGAAAAAAAAATGTTATATAGATGATTCATAAAAATAGCCAAACTGTCCTACTTAGCAGAGGGGGGTCATTTTTCTACTGGGTAATAAGCAATGAATGAATAAGAAACCAAAGACATAGTGGGGCAACAGCCTGAGTAATGCCTACCGCCTCCTTGGGGCCCTCGGGTTTCTGTGGATGCAGGCCTCACCTGCAGACTAAGATGAACTTAACACAAACATCCCCTAGAATGAGGCTGGCTACTGACTGCAACCACTTAGGGGAAGATACAGCATGACCCACAATCTTTACAGAAACTAATTGCTTCCCATTCCCTAGTGGACACAATTCTGTGCCCATCAAATTGACTGGAAATTCAAAGGTATTTTTATTAATAGTAGATAATTAACATGTTAAAATATTTATTCCATAGATATGGATATGCAGGCAAGGTAATCACCCACTGTGGATTTACTAGTAAACTCTGCACTTCCCTTTGTTTTAAGATATTTAACTCAGTGCTGGTTATGCAGAGAAGTCTCCATTTTATTATAGATATAAAAGCAAACAAGTATTATGTCAAATATTGGGTGAAGGGCAGTCCACAGGAGGTGGCAAAGCTTTTCATGTGAAACATGAAGTTTGCAAGCAAAACCCTGTCTCAGCTCCTATCATTAAAACACCACTGTCTAAACTGGTTGCAGTGGACTGTCTAAGCACCTGCTTTACAAAAGCAAATGCAGAATACCTGCCAGATGAAAAAGATGGGGAAACAGCTTATGAGCACCAGAGGCTGGGGTGATTAAAGGGGAGCAGCCCTAGAAAGTGGTAATACATGGAAATATCAACAGCGATGTTATTAGTCTTAGTTAAGCTGACCTTACCCCCAACATTGAAGTACTACTCTCATTGAAGCATTGTATAAATTGAAAAGTGCTCTAACCCCTTGCCATTCTAACAGAAGTCCTCATTATTCTCACCATTCCTTAGGGCTTTCTGAAATCACTTCAATTGAAAGTGCCTGGAAAAGGAAACACAATAGCTGTCTAGCTAGCAAAACGGCAGATTCCTTTCACATGACTACCTGCCAGACATTAACTGCCAAGCTCTTGTGCAATTTTTGATTTCAAGAAGCTAATAGTTTGGGAGAGAAGTAAACAGGACAGGTGATAGCAGATCGAACTACCACATGAGCACCAAACTACCATCAGTCAAGGTGGGGCCCTTAAATATCTAGAGTAGGTGAATATCTAGATGGGATTGGTGACTAGGTGAGAGAAAGGAGGAGACAATATGAAAAGGAAATCCTGCATTAACTCAGGTATGTCTATGACTGCCACTTGCCCCTCATTTGATGATGATCTGTCTAATATCCACTCTCATTGTTTTAGCTAGAGGATAAAAAAAATCCACGTTAATGTTAACCACAAGTAGCTTAGTATGTTGAAAGGAATGATTTGAAAAAGGAAAAGTCAAAAGGATCAGTTCATTTCTAATTTGTTTATAAGAAAATGGATGCTGAAATTGTTGTAAACATAATTAGAGGAGGATGAGGCAAACTTGAAGCTGCACTGGTAATACAATGCTGGAGTTATTGCTGAAAGAGGTTACCTATCAGTCAGTCAACCAATGAGCATTTCTTGAATTAATTTCTTATACCAACATTATAAGCCAAAAATGGTATTGGGTGAAAGTACTCTTCCATGATATTCAGTAAAATATATAATTTAACAAATGGAAGTGACCCAGCACCTTAAAAAAACACACTATCAAAATGCCAATGGCATATTTCACAGACCTAGAATGAACTCTCCAAAATTCATCTGGAATAAAAACAGATCCCAAATAGCTGCAGCAATCCTGAGAAAGAAGAACAAAGTAGGTGGGATCTCAATATCAGATATCAAGCTGTATTACAAAGACACTGTTCTCAAAACTGCCTGGTACTGGCACAAGAACAACATGTAGACAAATGGAATAGAATAGAGAACCCAGAAATCAATCGACCCAAGCCACTATGCTCAATTAATATTTGAGGCCAGAGCATACAATGGAGTCAAGACAGTCTTTTCAACACGTGGTGTTGGGAAAATTTGACAGATACATGAAAAAAAAAATGAAACTAGACCATCAACTTACACCATACACAAAAATAAACTCAAAATGGATAAAGGGCTTAAACATAAGACCACAAAAATAGTAGAGGAATACACAGGCAGCAAAATCTCAGACATATGACAAAGCAATTTCTTCACTGATACATCTCCTATGGCAATGGAAACTATGAAAAAAATAACCAAATGGTACTACATCTAAATAAAAAGTTTTTCCACAGCAAAAGAAACCATCAACAAAACAATAAGAAAGCCCACTGCATGGGAGAACATATTTGCAAATGTTATCACTGATAAAGGTTTAATCTCCAACATCTACAGGCAACTTATACAACTTAATAAAAGATAAGTGATCCAATAAAAAAAATGGGCAGTAGACCTAAATAGAATTTTTTCAAAAGAAGACAGAAGGAAGGCCAAGGGACACATGAAAGCATGCTCAAAGTCACTAATAATCCAAGAGATGCAAATCAAAATGACAATGTGGTACCATCTCACTCCTGTCAGAATGGCCAACATCAACAAATCAACAAAAGACAAGTGTTGGCGAGGATGCGGAGAAAAAGGAACCCTCGTGCACTGATGGTGGGAATGCAGACTGGTGCAGCCAATGTGGAGATCGGTATGGAGTTTCCTCAAAAAACTAAAAATGGAACTCCCATTTGACCCAGTAATCCCACTCCTAGAAATATATCCCAAGAAACTAGAAATACCAATCAGAAAGGAAATATGCACCCCTATGTTCATAGCAGCACAATTTACAAAAGCTAAGATTTGGAAACAGCCTAGGTGCCTGTCAGCAGATGACTGGATCAGAAAACTATGGGACATCTACACAATTAAATACTATGCTGCCATAAAAAAGAAGGAATTCTTACCATTTGCAAAAACCTGGATGGAACTGGAGAGCATTATGCTAAATGAAATAAGCCAGTCAATGAAAGAAAAATACCACATGATCTCACTCATTTGTGGATAATAAAGAATATTATAAACTGATGAACAAAATGATAGATACAGAGGCAGTAAAGCATCAAATGTACTGTCAAATTACAGCGGGAAGGTTAGGGAGAGGTGGGGGGGATAAGAGATCAACTGAAGGACTTGTGTGCATGCATATAAGCATAACCAATGAACGCAAAACTCTGGGAGGTGAGGGCATGTAAGGGAATGGGGTGGGGGACAATGGTAAGATATGTACACATATAGTATCTTAATAAAAAAAATGGAAAGAAAAAATATATAATGGCTTTACAGGGAAACATGAGCAATATCCCAAAATGATGTCAAGTAGAATATTTTGCATAGCTTTGCATATGAAGACATCCAACCTCTTTGCACTGGGCATCAGATATGGAACTCTACAGATACATGACCTCCAGGCATGGTGCCAGAACTCCACATTTGAGCAAATAAGCAAAATCCTACCAATTTTATTCCTGGTGACTATACTACTTCTTGTATTAGTGGAATAATATCTCACCATGAGGATTCTTACTCACAGACACTGAGTTAAAAAAAGAAACATATCTCTGTGAGGCTGCTTGATTGGAATTATGGATACAGTCTATGCAACAGAATTATTCTAATTGGCTAGCCTACACTTATTCTGGCCTCATTAGTACTACAGTCCAAACAACTAAGCTAACTGGCCATACATGGCCTCCTATAGGGCTGTGTATACTTACACCAAGTGTTCTTGCTCATACTGATTTATGTGTGTGTTCAAAGCCAACTCCTGTGCCTTGAAAGGGTAAACTATTTTTTACACTTCAGGTGACACAAAGAATGGTACTCAGACCACCCTGAAATAAGAACTCTCTTAATGAATAGTTCGCATGTCTTAAGTAAGTGGTTCTCAGACCTAGCTGCACATTAGAATCAACTAGGGAATTGGAGGGGGGTATTTTTGTTTGTTTGCTGTTAAGATACTGTTGCCAAGATCCCACTCCAACATATTCTGAGGTAATTGGCCTAGAGTGGGGCCCAGCAATTGGTATTTTTAAAAAACTTCCCAGGTAATTCTAATGTACATTAAGAGTGGAGAACTGTCCTTAGCAAAGGACTAGGCGTTGAATGTAACCTGATGTGGCTGTGTTTTCTAAGTCAAACCCAGCTGTTTAGAAGATGGCACCTTTTTATCATATTATCTGCCAAGCTCACCTCAGTATATGATGCTGAACACAGCACAAATAATTTTTTTAAGAAATAATAAAAGAGCTTTTCTTTTTTTCACAAATGTATTAGCTCTTGGTTAGCCTTATTTAATCAAAGTTTACTTGACCTTATTCCAATCCCCTCTTTAAGTATTCCAAATGGCAAATAGCATGAAACATTTGAAAGGGGATTTTTTTTTTCTAAATGTCACATTAATTTGACTAGAAAATGTGCCCATCTCTAATGAGACAGCCAAGTTAACACAAGAACACAGCAAAGAGACATTTGTTTCTAAAAAACCTAATTTTGACATTAAAAAATGGGTCTAGAGCAAACTTTTATTTCCATTCTCAGAGGTAAATAAGTCGATCCCCTATCATTTAATACAATATATTTCTCCCAAATTCTTTCTCTAATTAGAAGTCTTAATCCTAGGAATTCACTGAAAACAGAATTTTCACTAGACTTAGGTTGAATAAAATCTTGACTTTCTGAAAACCTAAAGAATAAATACTTCTGGATAGCTGAACATTTTTTATTATTTACTTTTATTTTTTATTATTTACTTTTATTTTTTACATATGTGTCCTTATTCCCCCATTACTCCCTACCCTTATTCCACCCCCCCCCACTCATGCCATCAACCCCCTGTTGTCTGTGTCCATTGGTTAGGCCATGAATCAAGCATCCTGCCCCTGCCACTCCTGCCTGTGTATGCATACAAGTTCTTTGGTTGATCCCTC